GGAATCATTTTCAGGAAATCGGACCGACAGAGGTGCGACTTTTCGTTTCATCTTTAACTGCAAAACAAGCAATTGTAGGATGTATCGATTTTTAGTTCCTTCTTTGGCCGTCGGGGTAAAGTAAAGTGGAAAATTTTGGTGTTTTATGTACAAAAAATATATTGGACAAATTCGGTACAATTGTTTTATTTATACGTTTAAACTTGTAAATAGTGTATATAGGTATGTATGTGTTCTTTTTTATTTATTTATTTTTAGGTTATTTTATACTTATTTATTGCACAGGCGGATTTACGGGGTGGAGGAGCTTTCGTACTGAAGCCTTCCCCCCCAAAATGGCAAAATATAACCATGTTTTATAGAAAAAAATATTAAAAACAATCTCTTAAAGTATTATAGGTCGTGAAATTACATTTAATAGGGCTTCAAGAATCACTAAGACACCATGTCATATGGGTAGTTAGTTTATTTCTTTCTTTTTTCAAATTAATTATCGTTATATATATGAAAAAAAAATCATTCAGGCTGAAGCCCTCCCCCCAAAATTAAATCCTGGATCCGCTAATGATTTATTGTATATATATATATATATATATATATATATATATATATATATATATATATATTATTTTTCTGTATAATATATTTTTTTATTGTCCATAGAGTGTGAATGTGATCTCAGAACACTTCTATAAATGTCCTTTGAGACAGATTGTAATATTTTCAATAAACAAGTTAAAAAAAAAAAAAGTTTAAGCGAAATAGGAAAATATTATTAGCAAAGACCAATCGCTATTACGTTATTCGATGATTTTTTTTCGGATGGTAATGTAAGCCACGGAGGTCTTTAGCCGCGCGGTTTGGTCTTTCAGCTTGGAGGGGTCCTCCCTACTTGAAGACGCTCTCAGGATATAGGATAACCATGCATGGCTTCTTTGCTGCAACGGCAGGCTGCCGATGGACTCCATAACCAATCCAATGGGGGCCAAATCGTCAGTGTCCTTACCGCCGACTCACAGTGGGGCCCGGTCTAGGAGGATACTAGAGATCCAGGATCAACTTCCTCAACATGAGAAAATTTATAGAATTCTTTCAAAAAAAAAGTTGGTGACCCAAAAAGTGTGGTAAAAGTTCAAAGCTCATTTAGACTCTCATTTTAGGATAAAAAACAGTCAGATTTGGGCGAGCAAACCTTCAGTCTCACCAGATAGAAAAACGCTTCAGCATTATTTTATTTATAGTTCAAATGAGTAGATATGAGTATTTTTGCTCAAGATTGCTTTTGGTAATACAGTTAAGTACATTTATTTTTACTGGATTAATTTAGCTTTAACCAGTTTAAGTTTAGTCAAAATTGCATTTAAAAAATTTTTTTGATCAAAGTTTTTGAAATACTTAAACAAGCAATATATAAAAAACACTTGCCGGTGTCCCACCGCTACAATTTTTTTTTCATTCATTTTGTAGCATTTTTTCATATTCTTTGAAAAAATAAATGAATAATAAGAAATAATCAGCAATTTTTGCACTAAGCAAACGTAAATATAATGCCTGGGCTCATATTTTTTTAATTATAAGAAAAAGTTGCGTTATATGATCGAACTTTTATTTGCTAGATAATGTAGCCCTTTAATATAAAAAATTAATAAGCGTTAGAATTTTTTTTTTTTTTTTTTTTTTTTTATAGATGTAGGTTTGTCGTGGCTGAAGCAAATTATCTAGACCCTCTGATAGCCGCCATCGCTCTTCTGCAGGTTTCAAGGGGACGGATAGACGGAATAATATTTGTCTGCATGCCTCGAAAAAAATAATGAGCTTCAAGTACAAGATATAATATAGCTAGAGTGCCCAGAAGGGGCTGCGTAGTGCAAAATGAGCCATCAAACGTTTTTTCAGGGTGATGGATTTTTCAAGGTGCTGAAGGGACATAATTTACTGACTAAAAACCAAAAGAAATAAAAGTTAAATTTGAATTTCAGTTAGGAAGCGATTATGAGTGACTTCAGCCAGAGAGCGAGCTTTCTAATGATGTAGATTAAAAGGGTAAGTTAATAGATTAAATTAATTAGATTGAATACATTCGTACTAGTTTTCTTTTTATTATTATTAACATATTTTTATTCTTGTAAATAATTTGGAACTATCATTTTAAATTTTAGTTTTTTGCTATAAATTATATTTAATCAAATTAATTAAGACCATAAAAGGCCGATTTGTGACGCATACGTGATCTTCAATAGAAAATTACGTTCAATGAATTTTGTCTCCCTAGATCGACTCTGCGACTTAATCGTCAAGATCCGTGGATTATGGATGATCAACGATGACCGTCCACGGACCCACACCTCCGTCGATTAACTTTTTTTAGGTTAGGTATAACAGCGGATAAAGAAAATTTGAAATGGAAAAAAAAAATGAAAAGGATGCGTAACGTGTAAACAGTCGGTAAAATGTGAATTTTGTTGTTCATCAATGTTATGTGTAATTATGCGCACTATCTCTGGTTTAAATGGCATCGTCAATAAGGACAGAACACGTTTAACAATGTAAAATTAATTTGTTTCTGGGAATATAGATATTGGGTTATTCGGAAAATATTGCAGGATTTCATATTTACTTAGTGTTAGGCCTCTATATAACAAACTATTAACGCTTGAGCGATTATTTTTTATGGATGTCAACATTAATTAATCATATTTTTTATATTTTCTAGTATTTCACTAGTTCAGTGTTTACTGCGATTCAGTATTTAGTTTTACTTAATTCATTTATTTTTATTTTTAGTTTAAACTCGTTCGGGACGAGATCCACACGGTCAAGAACATTAATGAATTATGGAGCGAGAGGGAGGCTCAGCCTTGAAGACAAAGATGGTCGAGAACTTGCTGGGAAACTCTCAATTAGTAAATCTGTCATCGCTGACCACCTCAACGCAATTGGAAAGGTAAAAAAGAGTTCCTTATACATTAAACAACCGTACAAAAAATGTTCGTTATAAACATTGCATTGCATTTCTTTGCTGCGACAGAAATCAACCTCACCCGCCCTAATCTCCAGCCCTCTAGCCTACAGATTACCATTTTTTAAACATTTGGGCCACTTTTCAAAAATTACAAATTTTATTGATGAAAATTAGATAGAAAATGCATGAAAATTCGTTAATAATAACGATTCAGAGGGGATGGCAAAGTTATCAAGCCAGAAAAATATCGAAAGTAAAGAAGCTCATTTTGATTGTTAAAAATATTTTCATGTCATTTAGTTTATTTTATTCTAAAATCAAAAATCTGCAATTATTTCCGGACAGCCCAATAGCTCATATGAAGAATTTTATTAGTTTCTTTTAAACAAAGTTTCTATGTACTATGATTCACCGAACACATACTTTCTTCGAATTGAAAATGTTATCGTTTTTTTTTTTTTTTTTAAATTCAAGACGCTAGAGATGAAAAGCATCAAGACTCAATATTTGGCAACTGGACAAGATTTTCTTCTGTAATTTGAAAATGGATTTGGCTATATTGGCTTTGGCGTATGCAGATATTTCTGACGGAGACGCGACTGAAGGCACTCCTAGTTTAAAAGTTCTTTTAAACAAATTTTCTTTCCCGACTTTAGAATAAATGTTTTCAGCCATAGTTAATAAATACTTTGTTCGCAATAACGGCTTTGTGAAGATTCAGATAAAAAAAAAAACTGACACAGAACATTTCGGTTTGACGAAGACAATTAGCAATAAAATATTCCTGACTATTTATCAGAAAAGATTTCATCCTAGACAATATTTTAGGTTTTATTAATTTTTGTTTCTAATGTTATGAGGATTATGTATCTGAAAAAGTATACAAGTATATAGTTATATGAAAATATACAAATTGTTTTTCCTTGATTGAATTTGAATCTTTCAACCATTTGTTTTGTTAAAAATGTTAAATAGAAATTATATGGCAATGGATTTAGTGTTTTCAGGAGTTTTAAGTTACCGCTCGAATATAATATATATTCTATTTAGTATGAGAACCATTTAAAAAAAAAAATCTGTTGATATTCTATTAACCGATTTGTACTATATTTTGACTATACTGCCTTCGTGGTTCACCTTTCAATTTTTATCACCTGAGCTTTCAATTTCCTCAAGTTTTAGGAAAAATGAAAAAGTTGGAAATTGTCATACCTCAATTAAAAGATGTGTTTATCTTTTAGGTTCTGTATAAAAGAACCATTTTCTCTTCATTTGATCATCTTATTAATGGTAAGAAGGTATTGTACTCAAATACAAACATGAATTGATTCAAATTTATTACCTTAAGGGTCAGATATTTCATATTTATCGAAAATAAATTAAAATATTTTCTGTAATTATTAAAATATTGATAGAATTTGTGTTAGATTGACAGCTCAACTGGGTGCATCGTAACATAAAATAATAAAAAAAAATGTTGAACAAGTATATGAAACTATTTAAATTCATCAGGAGATTATTATTTTATTGTAAATACCATTAGTGTTTTACCTCAAATATTTCAACTGTAATAAAACGAATATATGAATAAATGATGGGGGAATAAAACATGTAGGAATAAATAGCCTAAAGAATGTGTATTCTTATTATGTGGATAGAACCCATGAAGTTTACGTGTATTTAATATATAATATATAATTGTCAATAATCATTAACATATAAGGAAGTCATATCACTAATTATCTAAGAGTATCACATATAAATATAATGATAAATGACCACCTTCATCCTTCTTCCTCAGTATAACCTCTGATGCAAAGACTATCATCAAGTTTCTTTGCATCAGTTTGGTCACCCTTGGTACCTTCAAATAATATTTCATCTAAATATATATATATACACGGTTTGTTTTAAATCAAATTGGATAAAAATTTAGCATCTGAAGGAACATGATATAAATATTTTAATTTCTTTGAAAGTTCACAAAAAAAAATTATATTTATCTATATACATTAAAAAAAAAATTACTATAACTTACAAAAAATATCCCAAATTTATTTGCTGTATGATTCCATTCGTAACCAGTCAATCTCGCCTCCTTGAGATAAAAACAAAATTAAATGGATACAGCCATTTGTAGACCCCAGCTAAATGCCGTGCCATTGTCATTGAGGCTGCATATATGTAATAAAAAAATATTTATAATAAAAAAATGGCGATAGTTTTTGATCAAATAATTTTAAAAAATATAATAAAGGGGGGGGGAGTGAGAAAGAGAGAGAGAGAGGTCTTACCTGGCTCTCATGTCGTCGACTGCCGCCCCTGAGAAGAGCGTTCGCCCTTATATACATTAAGTCCCTCCCGCGCATGTCGCCCCCACTTCTCTTCCTTCCTTTTCTCCATCAGGTTAATATAATTTTCATTTATTTAAACTAAAAATAATAAAATTACAAACTGGTAAGGAAACCGTGGTTTTTAACCAGAATTTTATCACAGGAATTGATCCATATTTATAAATGACCAACGAAATGTTCTTAATCTTAATATGTATTCCGTGGTACATACTCACCTTTATAACAAATTATTAACATTCGCCTGAAACTTCGTAAATAGATTCATCTCATAGTAACCTACAACCATTTTATTTACGAAAAAAATTTTTCCAGTTTCCAATCTGGAGATCGGGAAACTTGGTCTATTTAATTCGGTACTAAAAACTCGTAAATACTCATTTGCTTTCCTCTTGATTAGAAGGATAATTTTATCACAAAATCGAAAAAAAAAAAAGATGTCCTACAAAAATATTGGGCCGTTTGTCGTGACCTCCACATCCAACATGTCGTAATAACGAGATGACAGGCCAAACTATATTTTTGTAGGCCACCTTTTTTCTCAATTTTGTAATCAAATTATATCACGATTAAATGGGTAATTAAGAGTTTTCGCCCCAATTCCGAGAGTTTTCGTAAATAAAATAGTTTTAAGTAATTACGAGATGAAGGTATTCACGAAGTTTCAGACGGATGTTAATAATTTGATAAAAAAAAAAAAGGGGGTCTTTACAACAGACTAGTATATTGGCATGACAGGGTGTCTATGTTCTTAAGTTAACCCTGAGAAGTGATTCTCGACAAAATTTCCAACAAAAAATTGCAAATGATCCGTTTTCGAAAAAAAAATCGGAGTCTTGAAAAAGGAGTTGAGTAAATACAATTTCGTCTTTTTTTAAGATGGATGCATTTTCTATTTCATAAAAGCATTAACTTAAAATTTATTTTATTGAGGTAATTAAAAATTACTCACTATAAGGATCAATTTTGATAATAGATACCTGTGTTTTAAAAATGGTTCATTATCACCTTAGATAATAAATTGTTTTGTTTTTTTAAATATTAGGGCGTAACTAATAAAATACTACTTTAATATATAGCATTCATTTGACCGCTCCCCCGACCAACTACATCTCATATTGTTTTCATGAATAAAAATTATTTGTTTTAGGTGAAATAAATTATAATAATATAAAGTAAGGCTGTGTTTTTACTTCGCCATACATATTTATTTCCATTTGACATGGCTACGTTTCGGCTAGAATGCCATTTTATTTAATCATGCTTCTTACATATAGTCCAAAATTGGATTAAAGTCATGTGTTTAACACTATTTTTTAAAGCTGTGTTTTTACTTCCCCACGTTTATTTCCATTTTGCATTGGCTACATTTCGGCTAGCAGGCCATTTTCAAGTCATTTTATGTAATCATGCTTCTTACATATAGTCAATAATCAGATTAAAGCAATGTGTTAAGCAAAAGCAAAGAAGAAGCGTATTAAATAAGATGGCTTGAAAATGGCATGCTAGCCGAAACGTAGCAAATGCAAATTGGAAATAAATGTGGTGAAGTAAAAAAAGCCTTACTTTATATTATAATAAAAATTGTATTTTTATAATTAATTTACTAAAATAGATGTCAGGTCACAATAAAAATAAGGAATTAAAACTTTATAATAATTTCTTAGTTCTTATTTTTTCTGAACATGCAGATACTGTGGATTGGTAGAGTGGCAGTACAGATATAGAATGATAAAGAATCATCGGGAATAATCCATGATTTAATGAGAAACACAACTAAACGAAGTTTGGCCGCTCAAAAATCCTCTTTAAATGGTTTTAACAAAGATAAACTCTACCTGTATTAAAAAAAAAATTGTCTAATTTACTATAAAACAATTATTTAATTAGCTGAGTGAATAATATTTGTGTTATCGTTTCCTATGGAAGAGAAAACGTTATCACATTAAGAAAAAAAAAAACGTTGCAAATTATTGCACAATGGTTTATTATTTCCAAACAATTATACATCTAAAGTAACATTACCTTCGTAGTGACAAAAAAAAAGAAATAAAAGGTGATTCCAATTATTGGACTCAACTTTTTTTTTTTATTCATTAGGAATATGCAAAAATAAAATTGGCATTACTTCAGTAACACATTCAAAAATAAAAAACCAAAACAAAGGATATAACTTTTGCAGTAGAACATATAAAAACATCTAGAGACCATATCTTTGCTCCTAATTGTCCGATTTTAACCTTTTTTTTTTTTTTTTTTTTGCTTTTTAGGAAATTCCGTCAAATTTTGATTAACCATACAATATCTACAAAAAATTGTGTACTTTTTTAGTTTTTCGGAATGAAATTTTACCATCTCTCGTAACTTTTTTTCCAGCTTCTTTTCGTGAAGTATGTTGCATAGATAAATTTAAATGGCATCAGAAGAAGTTTCGGACTACAGCAACACAGATTTTTCGGTCACCATCTTGAAAGGAAAAAGCGGATTTAAATGTCGATGAAGGAGGATCATCCTCGGGTAATCTCTAATTTTAAATTCAAATGTGAAAAAAATCGGTCCGGATGGCGTACGGCGGACGGCGGACGAACAAAAAATTTGTATTTTAAATAAATAAAATAAACTACTGAATAGACGAGGTTCCTTTTGAATTATTGATGCAACGCTGATTGTTAGTACCAAAATTTAGTTTTTAAATTTTTAAGGTCTATTTTATAAAATTTATAATACATTAATCTTTGGCCATAACATTGATTAGCCTTAAAAAGCATTATATAGGACTCCAGGATGTTATCGTAGGAAGGGATATAAGACAGACATACAGATGTTAAGTTGGAAATAAAAAATGTGTTTTTTTTTTTTTGCTTTAATAATATTGTCCCACTGGCTTTAGCACCAGTGACGCGGTTGAGAGAGTAGTGCAGGGATTTCTTGAAGTCCTGTTTTTCCTTTTATAGTTAGGGTTGCCTGCCTGATTGTACATAGATATGACGGTATTTTTATGTTTTTAATTTACTTATCTTTAGGTTATTTTATTTTTATACATAGTTTTTGATTATTATTTTACCTTTGTTAATTTTATATTTTCTTTTATATTTCTGACAGATTGTCATATTTCTAAATAAATAAATAATAATATTGTCAAACACTTGTTAGAATATAAATATGAAGAATCTAATTAATTTAATACTTCAATAAAAGAGATAATATGAAAAATGAAATTATTGTTTTTATAAATAACATTAAATGAATAAAATTATTTATTCCTTTTTTTTTTTATTATATGCAGAGCCTACTAATTCCATGGCTCCTTTCCGTGTATTTAAAAAAAATATTTACTTAACATAGATACAAGTATTTTTTAGTTGTATTTTCTTTTTGTAGTTAAAATATATTTGGTATTTTCTATTTGAAATACTTTTTCTGAAAATAATTTAAATAATATGTAATTAAATGCATTTTAAAAACATAAAATACTTCGTATTTTAAAAAATATATATTTTAAACCACGGGTGCACTAATAAATATCTTGCTCTTATAGGAATTAAAAAAGACGGAAAGTGTGGAGTCTGAAAAGAACCAGAAGACTAGAGGCACATATTGTTTAGATGCAGAAAATATGAAAGAGGCAACATTTCTCAAAACACTTAAACAAAGTGAAGATCAAGGAGAAAAAAAAATGTTATTTAAAAATTAATATTGTAGAATTTAATTCATTTGAAGAAATGTGTAAATATATATTATAAAGTGTACATATATTTCTTTAAAATTGTGTACTGACCAGAATAGGATTTGCTAACAAATCACTTGTAATAATAAATAATGTATTTTTTGTACTTATAAATTATAATCAAGATATTTTTTACCCAGGTCTTTTTTGTAACACTTTTTTTTTAAGAGATTGATTATTACTTAATGAATAATAATAACTTTGTTATTATTTTTCTTAACGTTTTGTTCTCAGTTTTATATATTTCATTGCTACTGCTTAATTTATCTATTAATATTTTTTTTAAATATGGTGTGAAGGTGCTCTCTGATTTATATTATAATTGTCCTTGATTGAGACAGAAAGTAATATTTTTCAATAAACGAAGTTAAAAAAAATAATAATAAAAAATATAGCTTTGGGAAAACGGTTTAAAAAATGTTACATCATGTTGTGTATGATAAAGCGTTTACATTAAAATAAATTTAATTTTCTTCAATAGCATCAACAATTACTTAGCAATAATTGTGCAATAATTAATATCATAAAAATCCGCGGTACAGATCCCTTTTTATTAAATATTAACATATGTTTAAAACTTCGTGAATGACTTCGTCTTTTCGTCACTTACAACTTTTTTATTTAAGACAATGCTCGGAAATGGGGCATTTTTAATCTGGAGTTAGCTAAACTTTGCCTAATTAAAGAGAAATTAAAAATTCATTAATTCACATTTGCTTTCCACTTGAATCATAAGATAATTTGATTACACCACCGAGAAAAAAAGGTGGCCTACAAAAGTACTGGGTCGTTTTCAGTGACTTCCACCCACAACATGATAAAATAAAGATTTTATATTGACAAAACGGTCCAATATTTTTGTCTGCTTCCTTTTTTTCTAATTTTGTGGTCAATTGTTTTTTTGTTTTTTTTTTATTTATTCATGATATTTACAACTGTTTAAATAAATAAAATACATTTAGCAAATTTGAAAACAGAAAATAATAACATGAAATCACTTGTTGAGAAACTACCCACTGGTAGCACTCTAAAAACAAAAGTATTTACAATAAGAGATCTCGAGGCCATCTTCTTTTCAGACGCCTCGGAGGGTTATCAG